ATCTTTAACATTCTCCTCTCTGGCGAGATCGAGCGCAGATCTTTTTACCACGACACCACTGAATATAATTCCGCGATCTGGTGATCAGGGCACTCGGTTCGGTTTTGCACGCCATTGACTGCCATGCGCAGCGACAGGTCGCAACCAGGAGCAGTAATTTAGTTGCGGGGCCAGCGACTCTCTGGGCGGCCACGAACGGTACGTGGACAACTGGCTTCGGCGACAGGATAAAACGGCATTGACAGGCCATTGTTACGTTAGGCGCTGCACTTATCAGCGTGTGTGGCGTCTGTAGCCGTTAGAAGTGCGCAGGTACTGTGAATGGGGCTGAGACCCGGTCCCAAAACAACTCCTGGTTCGCGGCCCCCGCCGTAGTCAAACCTGGCTGCGCCCCTGAGTGCCCGCGGAGTGCTCGGACACTCCGGTGCTAGCTGTTCGTGTCGCACACAGCGTTTCCATTCGGCAGTTGACGGACCTAGCTGTGGGAACGGCTGGAAATCGGGTTAACGTCAACATTAGAGCTCATATATTACCCTGTATGGGACATAATATTGTCAGTGTCCGCCCATCACGCTGAGTACCAAACGACACGAGGCTGAACATCAAATTACGCTAAGTGAATGCAGATGGTAGCCCGCCCATGCTCGTTCGAGATGCGGTGGCGAAGTGAAGCGCCCCATTTTGTGCTGTCATTTGTAATGTTTATCGTAGCCAGCCAACTTTTGAAGGACAGCTGACTGAAGATGACGAAACCTAAGAGGGTTTGCGGTCAGTGCGTACCGCGTGAACTCATTCGTGTCGTGTCAGATGGCCTCTTGAGCGTTTGCAGCACTGGAGCGAGCAACACTTAAGTAAATGTTTACACTAGTAGCCGAAAAATTTTGCCATTGAGAATAGAACCAATACCGGTTGCAAAAAAATCCGAAATCTTTATTAGCCCGCAAAATGTTAACGCTCATTAAGTGTCTTATTTTTGCAGCAAATAGCGGTATAAATAATTTAACTAGCAACTAACTAGGGTGTCTCATGCGGTGTGGAACAAGCGATGCAATAACGATATGAACGATGATGATGATGATGATGATGATGATGCTAAAAGTTAAGATAATAACGTAGCCAGACGCCTTTGACAAACGATGCCAACAACTGTCATCAATGCAATTCTGAGATCTGACGTCAAGTTGCATGAACTAATTTAAGAGGTGGAGGTCCCTAAGACAGCTTTTC